ATCAGTGTTCAGTGTGTTAGACAAAGAGTGTTCGTAATGAAAGAGACACAAAATTTACAAATACTTATATAAAATACTGATCGAAAAATTAAAAGATACTCGTAAATATTTAAGAACCTGATTATATATGGATATTCGTTTTCTCGTTTGTTTCTCTACGTGCAGGTTTCTAAGGTATTAAACAAACTTTGGTCATGTTTTTTAAATAACACGAGTGTGAAGTATTTTTATGTGCGTATTTTTCATAGAGTTTTTACGACTATGGAACAAAAGTTTTTAGTACTAGCACAGTTTCTGCTAACAACCACATGTTTATGGCCAAAAAATAGAACAAGCTTGAGCTTTACAGACGTATTTTTTATTTTTATGTCTTATTGTAATGAGGGTATATAAAATTCACAAAATATTGTTTTTATTATTTTGTGACAACAGTAATATTTTTAATGGGAATTTTAGTATTATGGGTAGCCTAATGGTTTGACCTACTTCATACCTTTCAAGCAGAAGGTCGTGGTTCCGGATTCGGGCTCGCACTTCTGAGTTTCTCGGAGTTAGTGCGAAATCCAATTTGAAATTTATCATGAGCTTTTCGGTGAAGGAAAACATCGTGATGAAACCTATACTTTAAAGAAGGTTCACAACCCTCGGAAAACGTGAAGTCCCCAACCCACATTGGGTCAGCGTGGCAGACTATGGCCTGAGAGGAAACCCGTGCCCAGCAGTGGGACATATCAATGGATGATGATGTTGGGAAATTTAATATATACGGTTATATTGTAATGCGTGTTATTTTTTTCACCTTTCCTGAAAATTTTGTAGTATATTTTCCTATTCACTGAAAAGTTCTACTAGTAGATATGTTGTATATTTAACGCTTCAACAATTATTTATGTATATAAAAGTTTGGTAGCAGTAGAGCTCCTTGTGAAAGAGTCCGTCCAGGGTAGTACTGCCACCTTACCTATTTCTACCGCCAAGCAGTAATATTAGCATTACTGTATTCCGGTTTTGAAGGGTAAGGGTGATAGTGAAATTACATGCTTATCAACTTATGTCTCAGGGTGTCGAGCGCAGTGGCAGTGTCCCTCTGATCTTTACGATTTAACGCTCTGAGTGGCACTGCAATTGTTATGGACAGGTGTGAAGACTAGTTCGTCCCGTCACTTAAAATTATAAAAAAAAATATATATTGTTTTTTAGATAGTATCAAATCTTTAAAGTGTCCGTCTTTATTTATCTATTGAAAGATACACCATCAACTTAACATAAAACAATCTTAGAAATAAATATACATACGTTCACCATACAAGGTGCCAAGTGTATACAGCACAAAAAATTTAGAGTTAGCCAATGTGATATAAAGAATAATTTAAAACAATAATAAAAATACAATGAAAAATGTAAAATTACAGCAATAATTGATGATTATAAAGAATTTAAGGATGAAACAATTGCTTGCACATGCGAATAAACTGTTTAGTGTTCTCTACATTAAAGATGTCTATGTCACTGTCTCTGGTCAAGTGATTGTATGACTGTATGAGTCTGTTTAAGGGGCCTTCCGAGATTCGTTCGGCTACTAGACAAAACAAATGATTTGGCAATGGGGACCCTAGGCACTCTACGAGGAACGTTTAAGTTGATGAGGGACAGTGCCTCTGGCGACGATATACATACCCCCATTTATCCCAATATCAACAAGTCGATGTCTGTTTCCAAGAGAACACATTCTGCAATATTTTAGCGGAATATTTACGAAAACATAAATCGTCTTCGTATCGCAATTTTGACGACGCACTAAATATTGAATCTGTTTGACGTCGCTATTTACAATTGTTGCTATAAACAAATTAGTAGCAGGAGAAGACGTAGTTACGCAAATAGCTGTTCATTATACACCGAATAACCTTAAGCATAGCCCTAGGATTTGTACGCGTAAATGCCAAAGCCCACAAAGAATGCCAAACGTGAATTACCAAACACAATCGCTACGGAGATCGTGAATTTGTTTACAGTTCATATAAATCTTCTGTACAAGTTAAGCGAAGCTTTGTACATTATTGCGAACGGCCATTTAGGTAATTAGGTAATGTGTGCTTTTGCATTAACTCTCTCTCTGTTCTCTATCAGTTCATATAGGACAAACTACTGGCCACCGGTTTCCTCTTACCCTCCTTTAATTTAAAGAAACTTTATTCAATACGTCGTAACTAAATGCAAACTACTCTTTGCACGACTATTGTAGAGTAACTCGATACAAGCGTAGCAGCGCGGGTTGTATGTGTGCGCGCCACCATGTACGAACGCACACATTCGCATAATCTCGCGTGGCACTCGAGTTGCACAGCGCAAGTAGTACGCGCCATTCATTGTAGAATTGTAGCGTTCACTCAGTGTTTAATAGTATTTTATGCAATCGTTACATAATGGGGTTCTTTAAGTCGAGTGCCGTGTTTAGGCTTTGCCTTGTTTTTCCGCCTTATACATATAATACCATTTTTTTATAATTATGTTTTACCGTAAAAATAGTAATGAGACAACCCTACGCCCCAAAAGACGTGTAGGCTGTATTGACGCTCAGAACAGGAAGTCGGATTATTTGTCGTATTATACTATGATAGGGCTGTGTAAGATGCTACTCTAGATTAACCCAACGCGTGGTACTGAAATAACCGGTGCAAGGCTTTACCCCCCATTTTACCGAATTCTCAACATGTGAGCATAACTGCGTTCTGGTTTCGAAGGGTAAGGGTGCTGGTGCAATTACAGGCACATGGGACTTGTCAACAATTTTTTTATAATATCAAGTGACAGGACGAACAAGTCGTGCGCCTGATCACGATCACACACCTGTCCATAACAGTTGCAGTACCACTCAGAACTTTAACTCGCAAAGATCTGAGGAGCACTGCCACTGCGCCCGTCACCCTGAGATATTAATGACAAGTGGGCACTACGCAGTACCCTTCAGATCTTTGTTGTTTAAAGCTATGAGTGGCACTGCAACTGTCAGATTACTACAGATATGCGTGTTGCTTACCACCAAGCAAGTGTGCTTGGTGGTGACTTGCTCTTATTAAAAAATGTCTATGAACAAAACCCTCCAGACATGGTCAAAATGTATTTAGGTAGAGTAACTTGTACTTTATAGTCAATTAACAAAATTTTACTTTGAATATTTATTAGCCATAAAAACTTCACACTTTTGTTTTTAAAACCAAGGGGATAGTTTTATTACAACCAGGCTATCACTCGAACTATTATCCATTTATGTATCATAGCATGAGACACATAACAGGGGTTTATGCAATGAATTGGTGCACCACTAAAATGAGACGAGACCGCGGTGCCGCAAAGCGTGCCGCCGTTTAGCATATCGAGTGATTATTTTGTCCATTTGTGCGAACCTCGTCGGGCACAGAGCGGTTTTATATTCATTTCGAGTGCTGGGATTAACATAATAAATATCGTATTGGGAAACACACACGTTTTAATGCCACGCATGAGAGAATCACCACACTTATCTGGACGGAATTGCATTCAACGGATCGGAAAGAGCTTTAATGTCCACGCAAGAGCGAAATAGACTTTGTACGAAACGAACAATGTGTTTTTCTGACTTTGCATGAGCTTATAAAGCTTTTTACGATAGCTCGAGCTAATTCCGGCTCAAGCCAATTGTGTGTGTGGTGACTCCCTAATTTAACAGCGTTAGGTCGTTTGCGCAATACGTCCGATTCGTATCAGTGGGTACATCGGTCCGAAATAATTACTGTCAAATAAGTAATACTCGGCCTAATTAAAATACAATGTCAAGTATGAAGCTTCATTCGCAACATGGCGTCTTTTAACACGGTCGAATATTCCTTATTTCACAGTAATTGTTTTGGACGGCTGTCAGACGATGTCAGATGACGAGAGTACAGCGTCTTGGTTTTGATTTAAATCGGAATCGATACGATCGGGTAGTCTCGAAATCAGAAAGGTTTCTGAACGAGAAGATGAACCTGTTTCCTACTATATCTTTCTAATTTGTGAGTTAAATCACAAACTATTGTTCCAATAAGAATTGCAAAAGTTTCCTATCGACCAGTTGTGAATCGCAATTATGCGCCTCGACTCGGAAAAGACGCAGTTTCCGATCGGGAGAGGCAATCAAAATCAAGCTGCAGGGTCAGTTCCGAATCCGAGAAATGACGGTCCGAAATGTCACAGAAATCATTTTATCTCTTAATTTTCGGATTGGAATCGGACTTAGTGCACAAGCGACATCCGAAGTGGGTCCAAGTTTTCTAGATTTGTGTAGTCTCGGATTCGGAATGCAGTGCTCACACGCGCTTACGAGTGAATACAAACGATTATTATGTTATTAAATATTGGTGTTGCTACTATATCGGCTTTGAGAAAGGTACACCTGTCAATATTAAATACTCTTATTCCATAATCGTACCAATACAGCTCCTTGAATAAAAATTCATCAAAAGAAGTACTGCCACCTTACCTATTTCTGCCGCCAAGCAATAATGTGAACATGATTGCGTTTCGGTTTTCAAGAGTGCTGGCGAAATTAATAACATGGAATTTGTCAACTTGTCCCAAATTGACGAGCGGGCGCAGTGGCAGTGTCTCTTTCATCTTTAACGTTTAAAGCTGTGAGTGGCATTGCAACTGTTATGGACAGGCGTATCGCTTACCATCAGGCGCACAGCTTATTCGTACCATCACTTGGTATAATAATAAAAAAAAATTATAACAATTTTATACAAGGTGGTAGGCATTTTAAATAAATATCATTATGTACTCTGTCTAATGAATAACTTAAGGTAATTTGACCCATAAACCTGAATGGAATAAGGTTCAAACTACGTGTATGTAATTTTTTCTATTATATAACGATGCCCCCGTGCTTTAATATTAAAGCCTAAAGAGTTAATTCCGTAAATTTCATATTTTAAATTTAATCGAAATAAGTTCTAACGTTTCTTTGTCTTTGTTCGCAGGTTTCTCCGCAAATTGTACAACAGTCGCGCAGCATGCGACCAAATTTGAAGACCTATTTGTTCTGAACATATTCAAACATTCCAACCAGCAAAAATGGATCACAAACTAATCGTCATTTTGGCGATCTCCGTTCATTTGTGTGAGTAATTTCTAGTAATTTATGTTCGTTGCTATTCAAAATCAGTTTTGCATTATATATTAAGTTCAAAACAAGACCGTGGAATTATTTACCGTAAAATTTAGATTAATACAGTTACTGTAAGTCTCAATTGAACGTTCTGATGCACTAAAATTGAAAACCGCATTACCCATCAATTCATATGGACCAGTAATTGCAATAGTCATGACTATTAACAAACTTACTAAGCGTCCTACACGCAGCAATTCTAAATTCTAAATTGAAAAAACCAAAACTGCAAATGCTATTTTCAGTCTAAATGGGTTGAGCGGGACCCATAAATTGAGTAAACACATCAACATGCAAAGCTGATGAGTAAATAAGGGCAGCTAAAATCGACACATGAAAGGGTACCCAAAAGGTTAAACTTTCTAAAGCAAAACATACAGAAACGGACAGAATAACTGGACAGTGGTCTACGTAGTTACATTGTAAAGGCAAGGAGCTTCTGAGGTCCTCGATCCGTATCTAAGGTAGACTATTACAGACCACTTACCAGCAAATGGGCCGGAAGTAACGTGGACGTAGAGACACGAATCCACTTGAATTTGTTATCCACTTCGGATGCGAGCACGCAGTGTTAATTTTATCCCAGTAAAATGTCCATGTGACACTTTAAATGTTTAATACGATTATGCATGAGACTCGTGATTCCTTTTGTCAATTGAGATTTTAATCCATTTTGTTACAATTCCGCGTCATATCATGCACGGTGTAAAAAATCTGAAACATGTAATACATTATACTTGAGTCTATATTATATATTTAGGAAAATCGTAGAGTTGTTATATTTGTATTGAGTTGATATTCAATTATTTTTTTGTGAAATTACTCCACTAGTTTGTTATAATTATTAATACAAAGATCGAACACTTAGAAAAAATTCCTACGATCCGGCCGTGCTAGACGCTATGCCAACTAAGCCACGGAACGAACCAGCGCACCTCACGTATTTTTCTATTTGCTTGTTGTCAGATCTTAGTATTTGGTTTTAAACGACTTTTTAGGCGTAACGCCATCTGTGAGACATCTATAAAAGTATTTCCTCGCCGAAAGTAGTTCGCAGAGTTGTTTTTATGACTAGTTACATATTTTCATAGCACTTACGAAGGTAAACATTGAATTTTGTTTCCGATCAACTTCTTATAGATCACAGATCATTAATTTAACGATACCAATATCTCGTCAACATCATTGTTTGTAAACACCCCCCTTTTATGCCATATGAGGATACTATTACGGGTCATTTACCACCTAATGGTACTGAAACAACGTCGCATGTGACTTCACTCTCTTATCAGAGCACTTCGTTGAGCGTTTTGCATTAAAATACATATAAATGGACTTATTGGAAAATGGTCCCATTTGAAACGCTTTTGAATTGTTTATTGCTCTTATCTCAACGCGAGAGCTGGGAATAATTCAATTCCTCTTACATATTCAGTTCATCGCTACAGAATTTATAAATGATCCAACGAAGTTCAGTTGTATATCGTTTGTGGTTGTTTCCTTATCGATAATATAATATATTACTGCATCTCGCTAATTCTGTTTATTTTGACATTGGTAACTGAGAAAATATATTTTGAAGATTATTGTTTTTGTAACATCTTCTAATTTAATTATTATGATCTTCCACAGGTAGTGTAATTTCCGCCGAAGGTCCTGTGTATGATGGCGGTAAACCAGCGCCCGCTCCTTCGGTCCCGGCTGGCAACTTCATCACGCAAACCGTGTATGGCTTCCTCGACTTCACCACGACAATTGGCAATACGGTCATGGTCTTCTCGCCCCAGTCAGCACCGCCACCAGGTCGCTTATCATCTAATATATATTAAAAATAATTCTTCACCAGGCTTCTACTAAACAAAACTCTATTTCTACTTCCAGAACCACCGAAGACGGAAACTTCTGTACAGGAAAACATTATTGAAACCAAGCCTCCACCAGTTACCAATGTGAAACCAGAAGCTATTAACCCCAGCAAACTTTCCGACAACAAAGACAAAAAGAATAAACCTTCTGCTCCCGTCGTTGCATCCAGCTCAGTATCAGTCATCGCCTCATCGCCTAAAAAAGATGATAAATTGGCCAACACACCTAAGTCAAATGAAGCTAAACAAATAATTACAAAAGTTGAAGTCGTGGCAGGTCCATCGAAAATCGTAGAAAGCTCTCCCAAACAATCGTCACAAAAAGCAAACAAACAAAATTCACAATCTAGCAATAAAAAAAAGAGCGAAGTTAAAAATATAGTTAGTAGCAAAGTAGAGATTAAAGAAGGCCCCCTTCCGTCAATAATAAATTCCAAAATAGAAATAAAATCGAGCCAAGCAGAGGAAGAACCAGCAATCTTGGTTACAAATAATAACATTGGAGAACCGGAATACGACTTCCTATCACGTCAACCGTCCGAGTTCGTTGAAGAAACATATAAGGTTATAAATATTAGGCCATCAAAAGCTCATGGTCAAAAGCCGAAACATAAGAACAGAGTACAGCCGCCGCCACCACCCGATGATGATGATGAACATCCTCTTGGCCTCGTTACAACACTAGGAGGTACGGTAGTTAAAGACGGACTCACGACAGTACACGAGACCAGTGTTATTGGTACTTACATTTCTGGTAAATACGCACAAGTTTTAAATAGTAATTCAAGGGTACTTCAACCCTCAGGTCTAAGAGCCAAGATATCACCCAGCCCACCACACAGAATACTTAAAACGGCGTCCCCCTCCATACCTAAAAGTCATAGGTACAATTTGGAACCAACGCCATCAATTGGTGATGATGACAACTTCAGCAAAACCACACGAAGACAATCAAACAGCGGCAGCTCCTATAAAAATCGTCACAGATCTCAGATCAATGCCGACAACGACGCCCATGAAAATGCTCCCCAGACTAAAAAGTTCAAAAACCGGAACAGCTCTTCTCAACGTACACAAAGGTACCTAACTGAATTATGCACTTACATACATTTTCCTTGCTGTCACAAAACACACACACCTATCTCTGCTTAAATTGCTGTTATTTGCACGTACACCGCTTACGGATAGGTAAATAATTGCACACATTTCTGTTTGTTTTCAGCCCACGTTTTGGCCGTCCTGCACAACCTCAATTGGCAACCGTCTCTGTTTTCAGTGAATCTTCAGTACCAGCCTTTTCAAACAGAAGGAAAAGCAATCGTAACAAGAACACCATCACACCATCAAGTAATAATGACAGCCAATCAAGGCGAGGTTTTAAACCACGTGTCCAACCAACTCCTGTTGAACAAGTGACCGGATCGACTAGTATCTACAAATTCAAACTTAACCGTGCTCCTGGCTCCGGTCGCTGGCAATATAAAACTAGTCCGAAACCTAAGGTAACCATTCGAAAAATGAAAGATGACGACGAGCAGCAAACGACTCCTAACCCGATCCTCGATGATGCACAATCAAATGAACTTTCTCCTCAAGCGAGATCCGATAATGACCTCGAATTGTCAGGCTCGCAAAGTGGCCCTGGTACGCTGTTAGACAATGATACCGATGACAATTCTATTGAGAAACCACCTCCAGTGGAAACATTGAAGGTTGAAATCTCTACACCAGCTGACTTCAAAGATGTTTACTACGAAATTGCTACAATTAAGTCTCCATACACTTTTCAGGTAAAGACTACAAAATGGAGTATAATTAATAATAATGTTAGTATGAATTTAAAAAATCAGTTGTTTTAAATAAACATGTTTGTTTTACAGGTTGGGCGCGTGAAAAATACTCGTATCATCACAGTAACGTCGACTATAAAAAAACGTATTGAACCAACTTTGGTTCCAAGTGCGCAAAGTTCTCTCAACGAACCGTTGACAGAAAATATATTAGCGACCGCATCTCCTTACGGAAAAGACCATAACTTAGATTCAAGTATAGCAACTTTACCACCCATCACATTATCATCAGACATGGAAACTCCACCACTGGAGACCGTAACAGAAACATTTAGTACAACTCAAAACATGTTAAAAACTCATATCCTCCCGGTTGTAAGAGATGTGAACATAACTAGCAGCTTAACATTTATACAAACATATCAAATCACTAGATTTGTAACCGCAACAAAAACTCTACCACCAATGGACTTTTTCCAATTTATACCGAGCAAGACTCTCAAAGAATTTAATAGCCGACTGGATGAAGCTGGTTCGGAACTGCATTTGGAATTAGATTTTGGCGACAGTAACGAAGATGAAGACGGAGTTCTGCGACGAGTATTCCCACCTGACTTAGATCTCGCCAACATTGGCTCCGATTTTGATCTTACTGAAGTGGATAAGTATAGAATGCCCGAAAACCATTTGAGGCTAAAGAAAGCGCATGGCCAAAGCAAATCCAATCAAGTCACTGAACCACCATCTGCAGTAACCCCGGCTCTGACACCTGAACAAGCACAACAGCTCGCTCTCCTAAGGCTTCTAAACCCAGCGGCGGCTGCTCAAATTCCTGACGTTGTCACTACTTCCAAACCAATTCTGGTATACGAAACCATTTACGAATCACACGTCATACCTTTCTTCAATGGCAAGAGCACGGTTAGCAGCACTATTTCACGACCCATTGCTACTGTGACTAAAACTGAGTACGAAATTGGAACAAGTAGCCTTCCAGCTCTGCCACTGCAACCAATCAACCCCCTATTCCCACAGCAACAGTACACAGTAACTTCGACGCCAGTTGTCATAAACACCGAAGTTGTAGCCACCGATAGCCAAGTTCTAAAATTGAATTTCGGGGCAAAGACGGTGTACACTACATTGTTCACAACTAAACTAGTACCGACTGTGCTGACATCTTACGTGACATCGTCAATTCTTATACAGCCGAGCGCTGGATTCCCTGGATATTTCCCTGCAGCGCCGTTCGCACCGTTCCCCTACGTAGGTTAGAATATATTAGCGAAATTGCGCGCAGGTGAAGTGCGTAGAACGCAAGTGTATGTGATAATGGTAACGCTCAAGTTTTGCTGCAGAAACAAAACTTTAAATCGAAAATGTGTTGGTGCCGTTCCCGCGAGAAACTATGCAGCGAGTGAGTGAGCAGTGAACAGTGCAAAAGCAGCAGAATGTTGGGATTTATAGCCTTTGTGGGAGAACACGAAAACTCTAAAGTTGTATATTCTTCTATAAAGTTTTAAAACTCGAAGCGGCCATGCGTGTACCCCCGGAGAAGTGGTATTTTGAAATGATAAATCTACTTTATGTTTTAGGTACATATGCATATTTTAACATGTCGCACTGCTTACAATACTGTTTTAACTCAAAATATGCTAAATTCAAGATTATACTATTGCTGAACGTAAAAAATGATTCTCTACACATCAATAAAATCGTCGTTAGAATATTGTAAGAAACAATCAAAAGATGTATATTTAATTTAAACTAAGACAAACTTTTTGTGAGCTAGTTCTGGACAAAACAGTCCTTGCTCAGAAATACGAAATTATTTTTTCCCCTTTATTTTTAAATATATTTGGCAAGCAAGAAATTGTTTAGAAGTCTGTACATAACTTTTAATAATCTTTCACGGGAAGTGAATTAGGTATTCATTCGTTTTTCATCGATTCTAAAAAAATTAACTTTTTGAATTAATACGCTATTGTATTAACAGTGCGATACTAGCTTTGTAAATATTGTAATTTATATTTTGCGTCTTCTTGTACATAAACAAAAATAATTAAAATTTTATTAGACGTCTAAATTGTTGTGTAATTACTTATATTTACCTAGATATAAGAATTTTAAGGGAAAATCGGAGAATGTATCATTGCTGATTTTATGATGTAAGTACGTATAAAATGTGATAATTTAGTTATGTCACTCGCACAAGATTTGTAAATAAAGGCATAAAACGTCGGAAACCTTATAAATGCAATACTAAAAGTTTAATTAGATGAAAAACTAGCTAATTTTTTTACTTAGATTGTATAAAATTCCTTAGTTATTGTACTTATGAGCGAAGGATTTTTAATAATAAAAATATTAAGTAATTAATGCTTTGGTTTTTATTTACCGAAATTTTATAGAGTAAATACAAAATTATTGTTTTGCACCGAAAATGTCAAGAAACCTAAATAAATCATATAAGCTCACATACTCTATCCTTTGGAAGAAAAAAACGATTGTTTACTAAATAGCTAAAGAAAGCCTGTAACTTATAACGCGGTTTGCGAAAACAAAGGACAAAAATTTCCCCTGTATATTTTCCAACAAAGTAGGAAGTACATAGTTGTGGCTGGACAATATTGTTAGTAGCGCCGAGCGAATAAACAAGAAAAGGAACGGGCCGGCCGCCAAGAAGCAAACACGTGTCGCTACTTTGTAGCCGAGCACAAAGAAGCATGAAACAAATAGAAGTACTAAACTTACTGTAATCAAACCATCTGGTAGGGAAACCAAATAGGTCCACACAAAGTTTGATAAATATAATTTATATCCATCATAATCTCAGTACAGAGTACTAAAAAAACCGACCTCAAAAGTAAGTGGAATTACGTCTATTTGCTAAGTTTTATTGAAATATCCCCTAGTTCGCGACTATACAGGACTTGACACTGGAGATAATAAAAATCGGTTCTCACTACTCAAAGTATATGGAGAGAAAAACGCCTTGAATTGGAGAAATAGCAAAATCAACCATTAAAATAATTGCTCCTAAATTAAAGTTTAGGCGCTATTTATAAAAATGAATCTTCATGCGTGAACAGCCACCTTTCGAGTTCGGTGCTTTTCTTCAAAATGAAATGGGACCGCTATGGAAGTACCTCCTTTCCAACAAAAAAAGAATCATGAAAATCGGTTCACACATACCGGAGTTATCGCGTAACATACATACAAAAAAAAAGTACATACAGACGAATTGAGAACCTCCTCCTTTTTTGAAATCGGTTAAAAATGAACGAGATGGATGCGTTGGTAAGGAATTTTGACATCAATTGAATTTTTTTTTTTAATAATATCAAGTGACGGGACGAACAAGTCGTGCGTCTGATGGTAGGCTACATGCCTGTCCATAACAGTTGCTATGCCATTTAGAACTTTAAATCGCAAAGATCCGAGAGGCACTGCCTCTACGCCCGTCACCCTGGGACATAAATAGACAAGTACCATGTGCCTGTAATTTCACCCTTACCCTTCTAAACCGTAACGCAGTAATGTTAACATTACTACTTGGTGGCAGAAATAGGTAAGATGGCAGTACTTCCTTGACCGAATTCTTCCACAAGAAGCTCTACTGCTGATGTACCTAGTTCTTTTTAAATACGATATTTCGAAGCGAAACACCAAAAAGTTTTTCATAGATTTTAATAGTCTTGTACAAAAACTCGGAAAGTTGAGAAAATACCATAACTATTACAATTATAACGCGAATAGTACTTCTTTTGAAAAAAAATCACCTGATTTTTTTAACGCATTCACTGACATAGTCCCGCAGTAGGGAAACAGTGTCGCAAATGCCATGGACACACGCATAGACAACCACAAATTACACATAAACTCACGATAAAAATAAAATATTGTAAGCGTAACTGTAATTCATACCATCGTGTCGTGATAAAAGGGTTAGCCAATCGGCTAAGGTACTCACCGTTTGTAGCCCAGAAAAGGAATGGTACGTCTTGCGAGGAGGTTCCTTTCGTACACCCCAATTGAGACCATAAAAACCAGTTGAGGTTAGCATTCTTTCCATATTCAAAAAATCTGTATTTTGTTATATGTATACTTCCAGTAATATATTTACATTAATTTTTAAAGTATTTATCACAAAAAAACAGTATTTTTTTTAATATTTATGCGAATTTCCATGTTTAAAAACTTTTTGGGACTCAACACTAGATGAGACTGAAAAAATCCATCGATTCAAAAAATTTTTGTTACAAGAACAATAAGATAAAATAGTTTTGATTCTGTAAAACAAGAAGTTCGTTTTCTTAAACCCACACAAATTCTTCAAGAGCAAGTTCTGAAGTTCAACATCACAACAACAACAACATCGTAAACTGATTTCTGAATCGCGGTATTTAGATTTTTACTGTCTTGAGTAGGCATTTTGAATGAAACCAACTCCAATTAAGATACCTAATCTTTATCCATAAGAATCAACATAGACCTAACACTCTATACGACGGATTAGATGACATAATCCGTCGCATCTATTAAATACTGGATCACCATTTTACAGTTTCAAAAAAAACGTGCCGCTTATGCCCAACGTATTTTATAAATAATTCTATCAATCGCATGTGTGTGTGATACATATGAAATTATTGAATAAGGTATAACCCCAAGAGACAACGATGACATGATTTAATAAAGAACTCTACAATGCCATATTTGTTACTCAACATACTCGTGTGTTTATTTGCGTATTTCCTCTGTCTTTACATCCTTATTAAAAATAACCATACATTTTGTGTTCCCGTGTACATACTCCCACACGTTGGGAGTAGAACTCGCGTAAAACAGGTAAATTGGGGCAATGCAAAATCAAAATATTGCTATTTTACCGCCGACTATTTACAGACAAAGAGACCAGATTTGACCAAAATGCACTGAGTTATTTTATTCAATTGTTGTTATTTTTTTTATTTTTATTGAGCATTGGCTATAGAACTATCAGATTCAAAATGTAACAAATGAATATGAATAAGAAACTCAATACGTAAAATCCATCTACAACCATAAAAACCCACCATTTTTTTCTCCTTTAATCAATTTTCGACACCGATGAGATTTTTTTATGATAGTAAGTGATGGGCTGAATAAGTCATGCGCCTAATATAAAGCGACACGCCACTCAGTGGTAGTTGTAGTGCCACTCTGAGCTTTAAAACGCAAAGATCTGAGAGGTATTGCCACTGCGCCCCTCACCCTGAGATATAAGTCAACAAGTCCCTTGTGTCTGCATCTTCACCACCACCGTACCCTCGGAAATCAGTAAAGAAGGAGTGCTTCCCTGAACGAACTCTTTCACAAAGAGCTCTACTGCATTATGCAGGGCAACTCACGGCTATACCGCACAGAGGAAAAGTACCTATCTTAAATACCGTAGATAGAAAATTTTACTGAAATGTTCAATTTCATGGTCTTCCTTTTATTTAAGATGCTATGTTATTTAGAAGAAAACTATTCTTATGAGTGAGACTTTCGATCAGTAAAGTAAAACAGGTGTTTTATTTTTTCGCATTTGGAGGGTTCGATTCCCGGTTCAGACAGGGGATTATTTAAAAATCTTCGAATTGTTTTTAAAATCAAAATGAAGTCTGTCAGTAAAATTTTCTATCTACAATATTTAAAGTGCTTTCGCTCCGTGTGGCATAGCCTTGTGACGCCCTGTATTACACACTGCACAATTTTGTTTTATGTTTTATCAAGAAAAATATCCAATTTGCTTCGGGATCTAATATTTCACAAAGTTCAGAGGTTTATTTCCCATGATATCTTAATTAAAGCCGTTTCACACTGAAAGGGCGCCGAAAGAAACAAAGCGGCTCTAATTATGAAACTAAGATTAATGGAATCTACTTCAAACTTAATAAGTGAACTTTTTAATTTGAAACATGATTGGGTAACCTCACTTTCGACCCTAACGATAATTATTGTAATAAAATAAAAAATAGTAAAAAAAAGAATTTTTCGAAATTCATATCCGTATATAATTGTATTTTCTTATTAAAAAAAGCGCCTGTTGCGAAAGGCTGGCGAGCTCCACACGTGCATAAAGCTAGATACTCATTAGCGAGTTGTAACTGTAATGTGACAGATACAGTAACGACGTTCATAGTGTGTATGCGTGAAACAGTCTTCACTTGCTAGAATGAGGACCTAGTTATCGTCGGCTCGCTGCGAACCACACGCATTCCGATCGCGGCAAGCTCCACGTCCACTCTGATTTCGTAGACTCTTTAAACCACGTCCACACTATGATTTTATAGAATCTTTTTCATCACACTCGCTCGTAAATAGTGTGATTGCATGATGGCTAACTTGACTCTTCATATAAAACCCTCAGATCTTTTTTCGTGCCATTACAACTATGGTCTAAATGACTATAGTAGCTGTAGAGCTCCTTGTGAAAGAGTTCGTCCAAGGAAGTTCAAGGAAGGAGGTAACTTAATTTGAAAAAATCGCATAAAATGTTATCTAAACAGTTACACACGTACAACTTAACTATTGTTAAGAATTTCTGATATTTTATTGTAATTATTTTCCGTAAAAAAAATTAGCAAATTTTTTTACAATCCATCATGGCTCTTTGCGTATTTCCTTTTTACAACATTTTAGTTCGAGTTGTATTAACTATGGAAGAATATTTTTTTTTTTATTAAGGCTTTGGCAAAGCCATCTGCCTAAACATGAAGTTTAATTATGTTTCTGTAAATATGGCCGCCACAAAGAGGATAGGCAATTTGAGGCGGCGTGCTTGGATTGACTCGGGATTCCTTAAAACGGGCCGGTACGGGTATTCTAGTTCGAGATTCGTATATTTTCGTGTTTTAATCATTGATTAAGGCACAATAGCACTATCCTATTCCACTTTAAACTAGATTTCACAAAATAATTGAAGGTCAAAATAAAAACGAAACTTTTCCCTCCAAAAGGTCCAGAGCGAAATTATGGAAGAATATCTAGCTGGCCACCTGTTGATATAAAAAAACTAAAACCCGCCATTTGCAAAATCCATAATTGTTGTATTATGAACCATATTATTTATACCAAGAAATAAACATTGCATTTATTTCCTCGCAAATGTGATGAAAAACATTGTACGTATCACGGACGGTAAAAAAATTCAAAACTCGAAATATTAAAGCCCTAAACCACATCAACACTATGATTTCGTAGAATCCTTAAACCCCTCTCCTGAAAAGTTATAAACTTGCAGATGAGGTCTTGTTACAACAAGGGTACGACATCCTTTGAACCATTTTTAAACCTACCCAAAAAGAAAAAAGCCTTTCTTAGAATAAACAAGAATTGATGGCCGTTGAATAAACAAGGGTCTCATATCTGCATCATTCAGTGTATCTTTCGCGTTGGTAAATATTTTTCAATCTTCGCATCTGTTGAATACTATTTGTTTGCCCAGCGGTCAATAAGCTTTGAAAGCTATAGGTACATTGGTAGATATTTATCGACCACTCCCTGAGGATGACAACCATTGTCCGGGCCGTCGGGTTTTGATAACAGTCAAGTTAAAAGGTAGGGAACAAAATTAAATCATTTTCTTCCCTACCTCCATTAAATAATGGAGTTGAAAGTCATTTTGATTTTATATCACAGTTGTCATTGTTAGAAAATTAATGGTTCCTGATAAAAGATTTTGAGAGAAATTATTGATTCAAACAGGAAACGAAATTGTTAGTTATTAAATAGGTAAATCGGAACCACAATACCCATTATAAAACATGAGAGAAGAGTTTCGTATATGATTTAAAGTCTATACACACGGCGTATTTTATACGCGCCGACGACGCGCGTATCCACGCCGTAGACGCGCTGTAAACACGCGTAAGTATAGCGCATTTTGACAGAGAGATTTTTAATTCTGTTTGTTAATGTCAGTTAATTTTTTAAATGAAGCAACTACATGAAATTCTGTATAAGCTTCTTGCTTGCAACGCGATGTTTGTGCGCGTTTGTATCGATTCACTACAGCGCGACATCTGCGCGTATACGCGTAGATTACGCGCGTTTACGGCGCGTATAAAATACGCCGTGTACAAAGAGCCTTAGCTTAAATATTATAACATTTTGCTTCAATTGAACAACTATTAAATGTTAAACTTAATACTCGTGGCAACTATTACTTTTTAAAACTTAATTCAAAAATAATCTTTAAATTAATTTAAAAAATAATAATAATTCAAAGTATATTGAGTTGCTAGGTTTTCCCGATTCTTACATATTGGAAATAAAACAATTTTTTTCCGGATGAAAATCGCGTATAATTGTTTGTGTTTCAAATACACCAACGTTTCAGGTCCTTTGCAAGTCCTCTGGTCACGGCTGATTTTGAATTAGTTCCAAAGTCATGGGATTATCCTCTCCTGAAAATCTTTTCTACCAATTTGAACCAACATAGATTATTGATTTTTGAGTGAAAATCGGATCACCACCGTGTCGCCTACGCTTTCTTTTATGCAAGGTTTCATTCGACTGATGACTTTATAACGTAGACCTAGGAACAACAAAAAATAGTCCTTGTAACTTTTCTTGTGCCTGTAATGATAATAATGAGGGTATAACTAAGGTTTTGACGAAGTAATAGGGCACCCGGCTCTATTCTTTCGAGCAAGGACATTTGAAGTGACGCCTAAATAAATTTTATTAGCAATGGAGCTCCATATGAAAGAGTTCATTTAAGAAATCTTTGCCAGTATACATATTTCTACCGCCAAGCAGTAAGGTAAATATTACGACTTTTACCGGTTCTGAATGGTAAGGGCGCTGGTGAAATCACAAGCACATGGGACTTGACAACTTTATGTCGTAGGGTGACGAGGTCAGTGGCAATGCCGCACAGATCTTTGTGATTATAAACTAGTAGAGTTACTTCATAGCAGCATCGCAAATGGCACACGACTTGTGCCTTCTGTCACTTGATAATCGTAAAAACAGATTATAGATTGAAACATATTGATAACTATAATTTTTTTTATATAAAAAAACTACTTCAAAATGGATGATAACCACTTTATTCACTAGTAGGTATGACACAAATACAGAATGAATACAACAGTTCATTTGATTTTTAATTCGGGACTTAATCACGTATAAAACATATTTTAATTACCTCGACGTTTCGGACATATTGCAACCTCTAACGGACTAGTAGTCCCTTCGAGACCATGGGCGTTGCAATACGTCCGAAATGACGAGGTAATTAAAATATATTTTATACGTGATTAAGCCCCGAATGAAAAATCAAATAATGTGTGAAAACCGTGAAAGTTTAAATCAAAGTATTGAATACAACAGGAAAAATAAAACATTTTTCATCATGGCAGTCAAATGACGCTGACTCAGCATGTTCCCTAAGGCGCTAAGGTCGTGGAATTACATCTGTTTGCAAGTTTTATCAAAATCGGTTACTGGAAAGTGCGACACCGGATTAATCACCCTAGTTTGCCACCCTTGGAGGTGTTGTATTTTCTTCAAATTTAAATGGAACCAATACTAAGGCCCCCTTAACAATAAAAAAGAATCATCAAAATCGGATATTCACAAACGCCGGAGTAATCGCATAACATACATACACACACACACACACACACACACACACACACACACACACACACACA